TTGTATAGAGAATATGGCCCCGTTTGGAAGATAGCGGATTGAGGATAAATTAGCGGATTGGACTTAATTGAGAGGTTTGACCCGTCAAATCCGCTATTGAGCTTGTTTGGTAAATAGCTTATTTGATAAGCTTTTTAGGCCCAAAACTCTAATTTAGAAAAAGCTCATTAGAAGAGCTTTTTGGGGATAGAGAATTCACAATCTACAATTTTAATTTAGAACTTTTTAATTTGTATTATTTATTTTATAATCTACATTGGTTTATGATGCTAACAAATAATAATATGTCATCTATATGATTAATTTATCTAGAAAAATATAAAATTCATAACTTCTTGATCAATTGTTAGTAAATTTTTTTATTTAAAAAAATAGATATTTATAAATTACCAACTAAAAAATATTAAATGTTTTAATATATTATTATTAAAAGAATACACCCTAAATAATAAAATGTCTTTATTGGTAATTTGCAATGTCAAACAGCTATAAGCTTTCAGCTATTTACCAAACACTTATTTAAAAACCGCTAATGCAATACGCTAGTCAAATCAGCTAATATAATCCGCTATCCGCTAATACAATCCGCTATCCGCTATCCGCTATCTGCTGATCGCCAAACAAGACCTATAAGTAACATGTTATAATATATTTTTAAATTATATGTATATATATATATATACTTTTATGTTTAAAAGTATAAAAAAAACAAGTAGACATAATTTTTTATGGAATACATGTTTTTCATTGTAACATATACTGAACATATACTAATATAAATGCACCATATATCTACCTGGACAGCTGCGTAAATTACATTACATGTTTTTATCTCTCTTTATTAAATACGTAAATGAATTAAAGGAGTTAGTCAAATGTAACTGAATTTTAGGTAACTGAATTTTGTTTGGAAATACTGGAAATCATGAGCCCACTTTTTAGGTAACTGATTTTTAGGTATTAAGGTAATCAAATCTTGACAATTAGGTAGGAACACAATTACTTATTTATGAATGCTAGATTTGCAAAATTTTCAATTTGGATAAGTAAAAATTTCCCTTTATGTTTTGATACGTGCATAGAGTAAATTTTCCTTTTCATTTCTTTCAATTTTCTTATGAGGAATTTGCATCCTCCACTTAAACAATCTAAAAATATTACATAATTCCATACCTTATATAATTATTTACAAATTAATTAAAACTGTTATACTTATTTACATATATGCCTAAAAAACTAATTTCCTATTTTTATGGTAACTTCTCATCAACTCTCTCTCCTCTTCCCTCTCTCTCTTCTTCACACACGACTCTTTCTCTCTTTTCTTCTGTCAAAACTCAAAAGCTCCCCAATTTATTTTCCAATTCTTGTGATTGATCACCTTTTTCGCTCCACATCTTCTGATATGATAATTAATTTATATTTACTTCGTTTCGACTGAATCAGTCGACTCCTTCGAAGCCCCTTCATAGAAGTCCGCCACATCCTCCGATCCCCTTTTCGTCGCCGCATTCGCCTCCGCCTCGCCCAAGCACCACCGTCTTGCGGGTGAAAACATCCGCGACGAGGCCCGAATCCGCGCCTCATCACACGGCTTCTCCGCCAAGAATGTCCCCTTCAACGCCGAATTTATGGACAAATTTAATACACAATATCTCGATATCTCTGTAACAAAAACTTCTCGGCTTCTCACCGCTCACCTTTACCATCTCCAGATCTGTAACAAAAAAAACTTCTGGGCTTCTCACCGCGCACCTTCACCATCTCTAGAGTATATGTCGAGTATATTTTCGTTATATGATGCGGCTTCTACCATCTCCAGAGTATATGTCGAGTATATTTTCGGTATATACCGAAAAACTTTTCAGCTTCTCACCGCCCACGACTTTTTTTTTTCGGTATATGTCGAATATATGT